ATAAGAACCAAGATACATCATGTACAGGTACAAGCACCCAATGATAAATGTAAATGTATTGTATACCTAAAATGTACCAATTAAAGAATTTAAGGGAAAAAAATAATAGAATGTAGGCTCCCCCAAGGCAGTTCTGAGTGCCTCTTCTTCCTTTATGTCCATCTGGAAAACACCATAAAACTAAGCCTCTAATCAAGAGGCTTCAATTCTCAGTTAGTTATTTGTAACATAAGGCAAGCTTCCAGTCCAGGCCATGATCCTATTTTCCTTCCACCCCCAAGAGAAGCTGTGGTCATCCTTAACACCAAAGATACAGCATAGTAGGATCAACAGGATACAATCCATCTAAGAAAAAGTTACAGAAAGCCCAGGATTCAAGAAGCTTAATTATATAAAATTTGAAAAGAAGGCAAAGATTCATTGAGCATTTACTACTTACCAAACACTGCTCTCAGTACTGTATGTGCATTGGCTTCCTCATCATCACAACAGCCATTTGCAGATAAAGGAAACAGCTACAGGAAGGTGACAGAACATATCCAAGTTCATATAGCTAATAGGTGGTGGAGTAGAGATTTGAACCCAAAAAGCCTAATCTCAGAGCCCACATGCTTATCCTTTATGCCCCACACCCTCTCCAGAGGAAAAGATCCATTTTATTTTAGATTTTAATTTAGTTCTAAGATTGTGCGAATAGACTTACTTAGCTGGTTCTGGCTAAACTGCAGAATCCAGTAGTTTGTGAAATAAGTAAAGAGCACTGGACTAAAGACAGATCCGTGTTCTAGGTCCATCCTGGCCACTGGCTATTGTGATTTTGAATAGATTATGGAAACTTTGTGACCCTCGGTATCTTGTACAAAATGAGAAGCTGGATTTAACTATTTAAGAAGCAGAACTCATTCTTCAAGTTGAACCTTCCGTAGAAGTCCAGATGAAAGAGTGGAGCTGTGGTAGTTTAAGGTAGAGGAGGGAGGATGAGGGACTTCCTGTTTGGTCTGAAGCGGTCCCTGAGATGCTGTCCTGGAACCCCTGTGACTCTGTGGAACACAGTTTGAAAAACATTTGATTAGGTAGCCTGAAGATCCTTTTAAGAATAAAACAGAAACACTTTACATTTATATACTGCCTCCTGAGGCATCTTTAACACTGTAGGAAAACCGATACTGGTCTCATCACTTTGCTCAGCAACAATACGGTAGTTTGGACTGATGGCTTGTGCTAAGGAAGTGGAGATTTCAGGTAAGAAATACAAGAGGATCCCTCTGAGAAGTCAAAGAATGTTCAAAACCCACACCTTTCCAGGGTTCAGCCTCCCTCTTCTGGAACGTTGCATGTTACCAACCAAACAGGCTCCTCCCAGGAGACAAGCTGTTTAGCTCCAAGTCTCTGTGCTTTCTGTCAACAGCTCTAAAATTACTAGGCTGGGTTATTTATCAGAGGTTTATATCCATTAAGGTAGTGCTACTGAATTCTTTATAAAACATAATGCTGATACTTCACATGGTCCCCAAAATTGAACTCAATGAATCACTGGACAAAAAGTGTCAGAGAAAACATGACGGTTTCCTATTTGTTCTAGAAAGATCCACCAACAGAGACCTCTGGGGAAAGAAACTTCTGTCTCAAAGTCCACATTCAGGTCAGCCCCATTCTCTGCTCTCACACCATGGCTGTTGATAAATCGAAGTTTGCTGCAGTGCTGGGGTGAGGTTATACAATTGCTATGATGCAATGCTCTGGGCAGACGGCTCCCCATAACTCAGAGGCCAAGACAAACAGGAATATATTAATAGCAGCCATAACCTAAAGATAATTTATTTTTAGTATCTGGGAGCTGAGAAGTTTAGCAGATAGACTCTTAAGCATTTAGGCATTAAAGCAAAAGAGATTGACAAACAGGGGAGAAAAAAGGCAGATGGAGAGAGAAGAAAGAGCTCTTTTGGAAACAATGTAGCATCTGAACCAATTAACTAAAAAACAATTATGTGGTTATGCGCAACCCCAGGCACAAACGGAAAGATGTTCCCTTCAGTCCTGTTTCTTTGCCATTTGGGTGGCATATATTACCCCAGGGGCAAAACAGTTTTTTCAGTGCAAGAGAAACTTAGACCTGGAGACATTTTCCTTTGCTTTATCCCTCATCTCCAATCATTGAATTGCTGGCCTGACAGCAACAAACAACAAAAACAACACAGTTTGAATTAGTAAAATATCACAGTATCTTTCTTCTGAAAATGACAAGAAAGAATTAGAAAGCTATGCTCTGCCAGTTTTTTTCCCCTTAATCCCATAAAACCTCAAGGAAAAGCACTATTTTGCAATTTTAGTTTTTCTTTTAAAACATGGCAAGATACATATTTTGATTGTATACCCAGAATGTTGCATAGTATTAATATGAGACTATCCTGACCCCCAGCTGGGCCGAGAAGCAACACTGCAAAGTCTTGTCCTCACACAGTCAACTGTCATACCAATTCTTGATAATCAACCTAAAAGAAAAATAAGAACTGTATCCATGTGATTCTACCTCTTAGGAGTTAACATCAAAAATCAAACATTCACAGAAGTATACAACACCTGTACTCCTTGCTGAAAAATAAGCTAATGTTTACTGAATATCAGCTAAGACATGGTCTCTCGCAGAGGAATGAGGGCTTTCCGGTGCCCACCACTTCCTGGCATCCAATTCTGATAAGAATTTGTGTCTAATCGATTTGTCTGTCTTGAGGCTTATTCTCTAACCCCAATAAATTTGTTTTTCACTCTGAATTCAATATCACCAGTCTGAAACACACATGCAACTGTGCCACTCCCCTCCCTAAGAACTTTTGAGGTTCCTTGTTACCTATAGGACAATCCAAAGGCTTTTACAGAACTAGAAGTACCTCACTATCCTGTCCAACTCACTTTTTCAGGCCCATTTTCTGCTCAGCATCCTCTTTTTTTTTAACCCCCTTTCTCACCCTGACACTCCCAGACATCTAACTCACCCACCTTGGACTGCTGAATGTTTACACCCCTGCCTCCCTCAGTCAGCAACCATTCCCACCCTTGTCTGCCATCCTTTCTCAGGGAGTGAGGGTACTGGGGGTGGAACCCATGACCTCGCACATACTAGATGAGTGCTCTACCACTGAGCTCCATCCTCACTGTGACTGCCATCTTATTAGCCAAAAAAAAAAATGCCATCTCCTTCATGAAACTCCCCCACAGTCCTACACAGTTGGTTTTCTTCTGGTCTTCAAAAACATTTTGCACATTCATCTACTAATGAAGTCATATTTTGTTCTATTATTGTTTCCCATGACTTCCTTCCCTCAGTTATCTTCAGGAGATGGCATGGAAGGGAATTATTTGTCTTGTGTGCCCTGTGACTAGGACAGTGTCCAGCACAGAGCAGGCCCTAGCAAGTGACTGATAAATACACGAATAAAAGGAATCAGGAGTTTACAACCTGAGAAAAGAAGACAAAAACATATGAAGTTGAATGTTTAGCAATAGAGATAAGTAATAATTGGGTGTGACCAATAAAAGAATCAACAGGTGCCAAAAATTCAGAGGCTGGTATTTTGGAGGAAAACTTCTTCAAGGGGAGGTACCTAAGCCCTCCAAGGATAAAAAGAATTTACATTTGAAGACAAGAAGGAACAGCATTCCAGGAAATTGGAATGTAAGAGAAAAAAGGAAAGCAGGGGTTCAGTATGAATTTGGAAGCAAAAAGCAAAATAGTACTTGAACCATTTCTGGAGGCTTAGAGAAAACTGGCCCTCAACAAGAAAATGCCTGCCCTCTTTTCTGCAGAGAGCTAGGATGAGAAAGCTTTACTGTCATACTCCCCTCTAGCACCCCAATACCTACCCCCCAATGCCCAGTGACACTCACCTACTAGATGTTGGCTGGGGGGGAGGGGCGGCACTAGGCAACACTACCCAGCTGTGTTGTGAACCTCTGCTTTGAATCGGCTGTTCCAGATGTGACATGCTCATGGAACCATGGAACGTGTTTCTGGACAGCTAGAGATCCTTTTTCCCCTCTGAATCTAAGTCGAACATAACTCTTCCCATAACAATGGTCCCCATTCCTTTCACTAGAGCCACAGAATCCAACCAAAAGAAGCAGAGAATGCAGGTTGGATGATATTGTTTGGGTCTGAAATGTTCTCCAAAGGGCTATATGGTGAAGGCTTGGTCCCTAGCTTGGTGCTTTTGGGGAGTCAGGTCACAGAAGTGTGCCCTCAGAGAGGATAGTGGAACCCTGGCCCCTTCTTTTGTCTCTTTTATTTACATGCTTTATTTACATGCTTTGCTCTATCTACCATGTGCTCCTCACCATGAGGTACTGCACTGCCACAGGCCCAAAAGCAATAGGACTAGTGATCTGGAGCCTCCAAACTGTGAGCCAAAATAGGCTCTAAATTGATTATCTCAGGTATTTTTTATAGGAACATGAAGATGACTTACAGTATTATAGCAGCTGAATCTGTACCCCCTACTAAGGATGTCATCTACAAATATCTAACTCAGGTGGATCTTGCCTGACAGAACCCACATTCCATGATCCTAAGTGGAAGCGAGAAGAACAGCCCCTTATGCAATTTGTTCTTTAGCCTCCAGTTTGCTCAGGAAAGCTGCGCATCATCATGACACAATGCTCACACAATAGTAAAGGAAAAGACCTTGGTAAATACCTCTTGGCTGAATGAAAGCCTGTTCACTTGAGCCAAGAGAAGGAAACATGAGGTCAATATCTGTCCCTTCCCAAAACACAAAGCTTCATAAAATTCCTGGACTGGATACTAAGCGCAGGACTTGGCCACTGCCTAATTTGGCCTCTTGGATTAATATAGGAAGACTAAACCAGATAGAAACCCAGGTTTCCTAATTCAGTTCACTGCTCTTTCCAGATGTCTTACTGCTGCCGCAAAGGAACTCATAGCTAAGAAAAGTCCTCTAAGCAGTAAGACATAGTATCAGCTGCTGGTGCTATAAAGGTGTTAGATGGATATGTGTTCTTACATGCTATGTTTATTTTTTATTTTTTTTCTTAATTGCCAGCCAATGGCTGAGCCCTCTTTGCCAAGAAAGGAACCTTTTTGCAAACTGGAGATGACAGGAAGCAGATATCCAAGGAGCATCTCTCCCTGCGGACTTTCCTGGAATGGTTACTAAAGGTCCAGTTGCAGTTCTGCACTATACCTCTGGGGGCTTGTGGGAAGTCTGCCCTCCTGGTGTTTTCAGCAGTTGAAGATGGAAAGAAGAGAGGAGAAAGCTTCCACATTAGCCAAGAGTTGGAGGAAGTGCTCACTGGGCAGGTGGAGGTTTCTCCCAGCAAAATCCTGGAGGATCCTTGTTCCTGTCAATTATGATCATGTGCCTGCAAATTTCATTTGACAGGAGACATGGTGTCAAAGGGCCAGAATGTGACAAAAACCATAAATGTAAAAGCATTCCTGCCAGAATTCAGCTTGTTCTCCATGCTTAACATTACTGATGTGAGAAAGAAACTCACCCTCCACCCCTCACTGCCGACCTACTAGCTACCGTAATTATAGTGTTGATAGTAGCCCCAACCCCTGCATCTGCCCTTGGGCCTTTTCCTGCTTGTGGGAAGAGCAGGGGCCTGCAAATGAGGAGTGGGTTCTAAAGATCACAAGGAAACATTAACCTGCAGAACCACAGAACACCAGATGCACCATGCCACCCAAAAGGTGGTTTATTTGTCAGCTTCATTGTCTTCTTTCTTTCATTTTTCATGGTAGATCAAGAATGACTAAATCGTTGAGGCTCAATGCACAAAGAAAATGCATAGGCATCATTCCCTATTCAAATATATTAAGAATGTCAAGACTGAGACAGCGAAGAATTAAGCCAAGCTCAGAGCCCTTCCCTGAGGGGTAATGTACAAAATGCAAGTTCATGAAGCCAATGGTAGGAGACCCTACTTTTTATAGC